TGCCGAGGCGATCTCCCTCACGGCGGAAGCGTTCCGATGACGCGCGTAAAACCGCCAAACGCCGCGCGGGACGGCGGGGCGGCGGGCCGCGGAGCGACGCCCAGGACGCGCCGGACTTGGCTGTTGCCGCGTGGAAAGTAAGCGCGCGAACGCGAGTCCGGTCGGACACCTACACGGGGCGCCCTGAACCCGGGGGACAGCGACGCCCCCTTGGGGTCGGTCTGCCGACGCCCCGCCCCGCCCGCACCGTGCCTCGGTCGGTGGGGCAACCTGCGCGTCGAATACGCGCACGGTAATGACATGACGCGGAGAGGCCTGCCGCTCTGTCTCTCTCGCACCCTCACTGGCCTGCGCGCGAGTGCGAGGCAGGCCGCGCGACGAGGCGATACTCGTCGTGGTGCGTGCCCAAAAAGCAGCGTGTCGCCGACGGGCCGGCACGCGGAATGCGTTTCACGGCAGTGTCTTCACCGCGGGCCAGGAGCGAGAGAGATAGGAGGCTGAGGCTGTCTCCCTCTCTCTTCTCTGGAGATGATGCTTATTAAAGTTCTGCCTGCTTCCGAGCTTGCCGCCAGCCAGGCAGTCAGGCAGCCAGGCAATCAGCCAGCCAGGCAGCCAGGCAGCCAGGCAGCCAGGCCCGTGCGCTACCGCCAGGCTGAGGTCGGTGCATCCAGGGCCTCGCGGGCCTTGCAGTCGGTGTGGCCAAACCTGTGGGGCTGCCCTCTCCGCGTCCGAAACCAACAATTACGCGACGAAATCGACGGGAGACTGGCGCGGCCGCCGCGCGTCCTTCAGATTGGTTCACTTTTTAAAGAAAATAGACACTTGACCGAAATAATTGAAGCAATTTTGCCCCCGCCTAGCCGCGCGAGTACGTGTACCAATCTTTTTATCCGCTCAGGTTAAACCTTTTTAGCACCGCGGCGGCCTTTCGCGCCTCCTCTGTCTCTGTCGCACTCGCGGGGCGCCCCGTCGGAGCGAGAGAGACAGAGAGGTGGCGCCCCACCCGGGGCTGCCGCGGCGACGCGACACCGGTCCCACGCGACGCCGCCTCCTTCCAAGCCTTTCGACACTCGTAAGAAGTGATACTGCTCATCTCCTGCTCCTCGCGGGGGTCCGTTTCTGTTTTTCGCATGGAAGGACTCTCGGCGCTGGGGCCTGGAGCCGCGCTGGAGTGGCTGGAGTCGGCTGGAGCCCGGCCGCGGGCGGCCCTCGTTCCAGTCGTGCGTTCAGGTCTCTGGCGGCGCAGCGCGCAGCGCGCGGCGGTCAAGCTTGCATTTCGCCGCCGCCGGCGCCCCGCCCCGCCGAAAGCCGCTGACGCGTTTGAACCGTCCGAACTGTCTGAGCCGTCTGAGCCGTCTGAGCAGTAGGAACGGCGGGCGCGTTTTTCTCATTTCCTGATGGAAGCGGCGGCCGACCGACCGCTCGTTGCGGTGCTCCCAGCCCGTCTGGTCCCAGCCCCCCACGTCGACGTCGTGGGAAAGACAAGCCATCGCTCATCCGCCAACGCCGACGCCAACGCCTCGCTCTGTTTCTGTTTCTGTTATCAGCCCCGCCGACGAAACGGTTCCTGAACGCGCTCGCACGTAAAACAAGTCCGTCAAAGTGAATTGTTTTAAAAATGTGTCCCTTTTTTGCCGTTGACCGGATCGGCTTCCGCGGCCGTGGCGGCGACCAATGGGACCCCAGGGCGGGATGCCAGGGCGAGGGACAGGAGAGGAAGAGGATCGGGGCGTGGCGCCTCCACTCGCGTTTCGCGTTTCCTCGGCGTTGCCTCACTGACCTCCGGACGAACCGGCAAAGAGGCAGCAGGCAACGCGACGGCCGCCTCCCCGTTACTCGCTGCGCTGCGCGCTGCGCGGCGTCGCGCTCGGCGAGGACGAGAAGGAGGCCCTCCGGCAGCTAGCGCGTCATTAGCCCGCCAAGGAGGTGACGATCACGGGTGCGTCCGTCTCTCTCGCGCCCCCACGACGCCCCGCTCCGCCCCGTGAGAGCGAGAGAGACAGAGCGAGGCGGTCGGCCCACGTGCGCACCGCGCACAAGTGGCCGTCGTTACTGACGGGGTGCTCCGAGGCGATGAAAGAAGCTTTTTTATTTTTCCATCCGGTGGCGCGTGTTGTAGAGTCGGTGCTGTGCGGTGTCCACTTTCCTGGCGTGACCTTAGCGATGCTTCTCGCTCGCACTCCCGGCTCCGCCCAGAGACTCTCACCTCCTCCGTGAAACTGTGATTGGAACGTTTTATGTGTTGGGATAATTTGAACATAATGCTCAATCAAGAACACGTATCGGAGCAGGAAGGGTCGATTCTTGTCAGAATAGACGTTTCAGGCGGAGAATCGGTCCGTTTGTGCGGTAATATTGCCGTGGTATCGCAGATCTCCACGAGTTGTCGGAGTTTCGGCCGAGACGGGATTTCTCACTGAGCGGTCGCCCGCGAGTTGCACACGTCGCGCGCCTTCTGGTTACTCACTCGGGCAACGCCCGCCAGCGGCTCTGATTCAGAACAGTACGACGCGTGGTGTCTCTCTCGCACTCGCGGGGCGTCCCGTAGGGGTGCGAGAGAGACAGAGCGACGAAAGCGGGCCGACGCGGCGCGGGTGTCACCGCGCCCACTTAGGCCGCGCGGCTCCACTGTGGGGCCGCGGCTCCCAAAACGGGCCGACCGCAGCGCCATGCCACGCCACTGGCAACCGGGCCGCCGGCCGGGCGGATTAAGCCACACCAAGCAGCAGGCCGCGGCCGCAGTTTACCAAGCAAGCCGCATTTTTCGCACGTTCTTACCCAGATTCTATCTGGCGCAGGGCGCGGCGGCGCGGGGCGGGGCGGGGGGCACCCCGCTTCCGTGAGCCGCTGGGGAAGTTCGTTTGTTGCCTGGAAACGTATTCAGCGGCGTTGCGCGGCGCGGAGGCTGCGCAGACTGATTCCGAAGAGCGCTCTGTCTGTCTCTCTCGCACCCCCGAGAGTGAGTGCGAGAGAGACGGTGCGCCGCAGCCTCCGCAGCGTGTTGCGTTGCATGAATGTGATGGACTAGATACGCTATCGTCGCTATCGCGTTTGGATTCTTCGGTCCGACCGACCCGTAATGAGTCTGGCGGGTCACGAGCGGAAACGCCTCGGCGGCGCGGCGCGGCGAAGCGCTTTGCCAAGATTCGCAGCAATCGGATCATTTTCCGCGCACTAGGGGCTGATGCCGAAACGGGGCCTCGTCTCTGTCGCTCCTCTATAGGGCGCCCTATGAGTGCGAGGGAGACAGAACGACGAAGCACGACCCTCGATTTTGTTGTCGGGGTGCTAAGGTGCTGAGTCTGTAAAAACGGGGTTTGTTTCTTGTCCCCGAAATAGGCAGTTTTAGCCCGCTTTCGAACCCAACGAACGCCCGCCGAACTGCGAGCTTCTTTAAAGACGCGAAGGCTGGCGAGGCTGGCGTGGTCCATTCTGCGCGCAGCAGACCCTGGCCGCATGGAGATGAGATGGAGGCCAGGAGCGCACACCACACTCATTCCGAACGGTCGCTCTGTCTCTGTCGCACCCCTACGGGACGCTCCGGGGCGTGAGAGAGACAGAGTGATGAAAGCACACTGTTCGGAACCATCGCGCAGGCCAAAGGCGACTAAAGACGCGAATGCAGTCCAGGCGTGTCATGCGTGGCCTGAGGACAGACGCGCCGCAGTGTGTGGTGTGTGTGTGGGGGGGGGGGGGGGGGGTCGCGGACGTCGCCGCGACCTTCCTCCGAAAAGACAGGCCCCTCGGCCCGCGGGGACGTCACTGGCGTTACGCGGAGAGCAGTGCACTGGATCTGATTATCGCGTCACGACCCACGCTGCGCTCGCCGCGCCCCGTCAAGGAGTGCCTCCCGCAGGCGGTGGCCGCCGGACGCAGCGCCATCGGACTTTGGCTAATTCTCCGACGCTCGTCGCCAGCAGACTGACTATTCCGAAGAAACCGTCGCTGCGTCTCTCTGTCTCTCCCGGAGCGTCCCGGAGCGTCCCGCAAGGGCGCGAGAGAGAGAGAGAGAGAGGGTGTTCGGCACCGCGCGGCAGGATGCCCCGCAGTCTCACGGCTCCCGCGGCGGCATTCTGCTTTTCTCGTTATCGAATCAGGCGATAAATAACTGAAATGGCCAGGCCGCAGATTGGCATTGCCTGCAGTTGCCTGCGACTTGGCCGGCGTAGATGTGCCCGTGTTGCCTACCCGCGGCTGGGCGGGCGCGGCCGGCGACGAGGCGTTGCCCCGGCGGCCCCCTATTCGCCTTTTTGCGCGGCCCGCGCGAACTTTGCCTTGGAGGCAGTGACCCCGCGGGGCCAGCGCCGCGACGGCGGGCAGCGGCATGGGCAGCGGGGCGGCGTCCAAGTTTAAGTTTGATGAATATGAAGCGCTTCGGGATGACCTTTGCGGCGCCAGTGAGTCCCACGGCGGTATTGATCTGATAATTGGCCTGGTCCTGACCCCTCACGCTTGACGCTTGGCGCTGTGCGCTCGGCGCATCCAGATAGCGCGGCTAAGGCCACCGCCAAAGGTGGCCGTCGACCGCCACCGCCGCCAGTCAAACAGTTCAACTCAGGACCAACTTCTGTCTTGTCCGCAGGAAGCCCCCAGGCCCGCCACACTCGCCATCGCCCTGCTCCTCGCCGCCTGCGCCTGCACCACCGTAAGTACCGCACGGCGTCTCTCTCGCACCCTCCGCACGCCCCCGCGAGTGCGAGAGAGACAGCCCGTTCGGAATCCGACTGTCAGTAACCGAACTTTCCCCCGGCCGGTAGGCGTCCGAGGCGAGGACAAACAGCTCGTCCAGTTCGAGGAGGGACGTCCGGGCCAGCGAGCGGGACTTGTATTACAACCCTCGGCCGCCGCCGCCGTCGACCGGCACCTCCCCACCGCCGCCGCCGCCGCCACCGCCCTCCACCACGCAAAGTGCCGGCGCGGTGCAGGGCCACAATCAGCAGCAGCAGCAACAGCAGCAGCTTTCCATACAGGAGCAAAATTACATTTATCAGCAGAACTACATGAAGAGCCAGCCGCAGCAGTACGAAAACCAGCCGCGTCAGGTGCAGCAGCCGCAGCCTCCGCTGCTCGACGGCGACCTGGCTTTCCCGTCCGTGTCCAGCTTCAACAACGCCCTGCTGCCCAGCCGGACCACAGGTGAGTGGCCGTGGTGGATGGGTGGCCTACCTCCACGGCGCCGCGCCGCGCTGCCACACTGTCTGCGCCGCACGGGCCGAGCCGGGCCGAGCCGCCCGAGCGCATCTTGACCTACAAGAGGTTTGGCCTCGACGCGGCTTAGGTTTAATCGTCCCATGACAGCGCAGCCGGGCGCAGCCTAGTATTGCGTCTTCGGTTATCGGCGCACTTGGATTGCAAAACGCGATAGGCAGATTCGAGGTTACTGACCCCTTTTCGGGTCGAACCGCGGCTTGTCGCCAGGCGGTGCACCGCGGTGACGGCATCGAGGACCCTTTTTGGGTCGTTGACACCATTCCTGCTGTAAGCCAGCCTCGCGAGCGGCGTGACCGATACCGCGGCACCCCTGAGCTCAGGACATCCGCCCCCTCGGCAGACCTTTCCGACAGCGTTACATCGCTGTCGCTGTCTCTCTCGCGCGCACGGGGCGCTCCACGAGTGCGAGAGAGACAACCACAGCCTGACCCGTTGGGTGACTCCGCTTTCGACTGTTGCAGAGGCGGCGAGCGGCGAGCTGCAGGGCTCGGGCGAGCGGCAGGCGGTGCGCGACCACGGTCACGTCCTCGGCGATGTGGGCCAAGCGCGGCAGGCGGCCGAGCCAACGGCACAGCCGGGCAGCGTCCTTGGCCTTCGAGGCGGCGCCGAAGGGGCCGAAGGCCTTGGTGAAGGCCGGGCGGCGGGCACCGCCGGCACCGCCAGCCAGAGCAACGACCGCAGCAACGCGGCCGCCAACGCGCCCCAGGGCCCCGGCGGCCCCAAGCCCGGCCTCAACGGGCCCATTGTAGTGGCAAACCTGCCCGACCAGCGCGAGGTGGCCGCGCCCTACCACTTGAACCACCACCAACCCCAACAGCAGGGTCCTTACGGCTACGGCGGCGACACGCAGACCACCCAGAAGGCCTTCGACGGACAGGCAGCCATGAGGGCAGCCCCCTACAGCGCCAATCAGATACCGCAGGGCGCCTTCAGCAGCCAGTCCCCCACTTACAGTGCCAGCACCCCGGCCAACTTGGTGGCGCTCGGCAAGCACAACGAGACGGGGCAGCCCTCCACGGCCAGCCCCACGTTCGCCCCGACCTTCGCCCCGACGTTCGCCGCCACGGACAACCGGCAGCAGAGCGCGTACGGCCCGACGGCACGCCCGGCCAGCCAGGCCAGTTTCGGCCAGGGCAACCAGGAGGTGCTGGCCCCAGCAGCGGCCACCTTCAACGGCCAGGCCAAGCAGGGTGACTTCAGCCAGAACAAGCAGCAAGCGGCCTTCAACCAAGGCCAGCAGCAAAGCTTCAACCAGGGTCAGCAACCTGCATTCAGTCAAGGTCAGCAGCAAAGCTTCAACCAGGGTCAGCAACCTGCATTCAGTCAAGGCCAGCAGCGAAGCTTCAACCAGGGTCAGCAACCTGCATTCAGTCAAGGCCAGCAACAAGCATTTTACCAAGGCCAGGCGAATGGACCCAACCAGGGCCAGCAGACTTCATTTAATCAAGGTCACCAACCCGCATACAACCTCGGCCAGCAACAAGGATTCGACCACGGTCACCAAAATAATGCGCAAGCACCAGTATTCAACCAAGATCAGCAATCAAAATTCAACCAGGGCCAGGTGCCTTTTAACCAGGGTCAGGCGCCAGCATTTAACCAAGGTCAATCATCAACATTTAACCAAGGACAGGCGTCAACATTTAACCAAGGTCAGGCGCCGACATTTAACCAAGGACAGCAGTCAGCATTTAACCAAGTCCAGGCGCCAACATTTAACCAAGGCCAATCATCTACATTTAACCCAGGTCAGGCACCCACATTTAACCAAGGAGAGCAGTCAGCATTTCACCAAGGCCAATCATCAGCTTTTAGCCAAGGTCAGTCATCAACATTTAACCACGGCCAGCAGCCACAGTACAACCAAGTGCAACAAAGTCAACAAGCCACGACATTCAGCAGTGCGAACCAAGGGCAGCAAACTGCACTCAACGAAGTAAACCAGGGACAGCAACCTGCATTCAATCAAATAAACCAGGTCCAGCGAACAGCCTTCAACCAAGTCAACCAGGATCAGCAAACCCCTCTGAACCGTGGGCTAACAGCGTTCAACCAAGTTGACCTGGGCCAGCGAGGCCAGCAGGAGGCGGCCCCCCAAGGCATCCTCCAGCAAAGCGGGTTCGACGCCCAGCAGTCGTTCCAGGCTTCTGCCGCGACACCCACCCCGTTCGCCGCGCCCATCTCCCCGTCGTGGAGCCCCGCGCCGGCCTCCGCGCCCTCTGGCTCGGCGCCGACCGAGGCGACCGGGGCGGGCGCCTACTGGTTCTCGCCGTCCGGCGTGGGCGACTACAACGTGGCCTTCCACTTCGACGGCTCCTCCAACGACCTGGCGCCCCGCGGCCACAGCTCGGTGCGCTCGCAGCTGCAGCGCGGCATCCCCAGGACCAACTTCACCTGCAGGGGCAAGAAGCAGGGCTACTACGCCGACCTGGAGACCGGCTGCCAGGTAACCCGACGTCTCGACTCATTTTCGTTTTTTTTTTCTAAAATTCTATTCACACATTACTCAGTAGAGTCAGGCTAGAAGCGATAGCCAAAGTGGAGCACGTGCAGCAGGCAACGCCCTGACGTCACTCACCTCGAGCACGGCGAAAAGTAAAAGAGGTCCCAACGCTGCTATGTTTGCTATCTCAGTCGTGTTAGTCAGGTAAAGTCGCTTCACACCTAGGAGGGTGGGGGGCAAGCCCACTTAACTGAGGTTTTGTTCGTTTTTCTTGGTATGTCCGTCGTACTGTACACTGCATTGAGTGATGACGCGCCGTGTTTTGCTCGTGTGACGCAGCGCGTGCAGAGTCGCTGGTCATTCACCTCGTCTAGTGCCGCGTAGAATCGCCAGCACCGCCAGGCGCGTCAAGGTCATCTGGTTGCAGATCGCCTGGACGGCCGGCGGCAGCGGGCGGCGGTCGGCAGGCCTTTGTCCTGACCGCGTCTTGTTCCTAGTTGTTGTCGCCGCCTGGAGGCTGGGAAGATTTGTGTGCGACATTCGCCTGTTTTCATACTGCCGCCACGCGTGGCGTGGTCACCGTTGGGAGTGAGCGACAGAATAACCGCAAACCTGTCTTTGTTTGTGTGCGTAGGTGTTCCACATCTGCCAGCACGCGGGGCTGAAGAGCTCGTTCATGTGTCCGGAGGGCAGCGTGTTCAACCAGCAGCTCCTGGTGTGCGACTGGTGGTTCGACACCATCTGCGACGCTCCCGACGCCCCCGAGGCCCCCGCCCCCGCCCCCGCCGCCACCACGCCCAGCACGCCCAGCACGCCCAGCCCGCGGGCGGACGACCAGCAGCCCCGCAACGACCTGTCGTCGGGCGCCAGCGCGTACCAGCGCCGCCCGGGGGGCATCTTCGCCACCATCGCCCCCGCCGAGATCAACCTCGCGCTCTCCACGCCGGCGCCGGGGGCGGGGATCGAACCCACGGCCCGCGAGGCCAAAGCCCTGGAGCCGCTGTACGAGAACATGCGACTACTGCTGAACGCGGCCAGCCTGGAGGTGATGGCGTCCCAGGGCAGCGAGTGGGCGCTGACCACGCCGCGGCCCTTCACGCTGCCGCAGCAGACGACGCCCTGGTTCGACGCCTCCACGCCGCGGCCGCACTTCGACCTGCCCGCCGTCACGCCCGTCGCCATCCTGGCCAGCCCCTACCAGCAAGGGCCTCAGCAGCAGTTCCAGCAGCTACAGTCCCCTCAACAAAACCTCGGCCAAGACGTCCACCCCGAGGTGACTCCCTTCTCCGCCACCCCCGCGCCCGCCTTCTTCGACGTGACCGCCTTCAACGCGGCGTTCTCGCCCTCGTCCAGCCCCTCGTCCAGCCCCTCGTCCAGCCCCGCGCCCCCCAGCGAGCGGGCCTACCTCCGCGAGAGCGAGTTCCTGCAGCGGCCGCAGGAGGGCGGCCTGGAGGTGAACCTGCTGCCGCCCTTCCTGGACACCCCGAGCGGCAACAGTCTGGAGCCGGGTCTAGGTGCACTCGGCTACGCCGTGACGCCCGGGTACTCTTCCATCTCCACCAACAGGCCGTACTCCAACGGCACGGCGTCGCCGTCCACGCCGCCGCCCTTCGGCAACGCCGTCGACAGCCCCGTCACCGAGAACAAGGCCTCCGAGATCCTGCTGGCGCACGTGCAGGCCGCCAAGGAGACGTACGACACCACGGTGCGCGCCGAGATGGCCGCGCAGAGCTCCGTCGCGGAGCAGGGCGGCCTCCCCAGCAGCTCGCAGGCCGCGTCGGTGACGACCACCACCCCGACGGCCACCCCGGCCACCCCGTCCACGACGGAGGCCCAGATCAACCTGACGAGGTACGGCGGCAGGCCCATCCCCTTCGGGGTCCGCATCAGGAACCTCAAGAGAAGACAGCGGCGCCACTAGACTGTCATAGATTACAAAATTGTGTGTTTGAGTGTGGAACGTGGGTGAAAATGTTTATATAGAAATGTGCCAATATGTTTTTGTTACAAAAATTAAGTTAAAGATTGGTTGTCACGCAGGGAGTAATACTGTGGCTGGCTCCTGTTGTTTGTTGTTTCCTTTAATCGTAAGAATCGAGTTATATTTTTGTAAAAATCGTTATCACGTTTATTCAAGAGTCATTTAAGTCAGGCCCCCTGGCCTGAGCGGTTCATTCGTCGTTCATTTGTCATACAAACGCAAGTTACCATAATAAACTAGAATAAAGCTGTGATCCTTACTGCACTTTGTTATCAATGCAATCCACCCTTATCTTCGAAACCTTGGGCACTACGTGTTACATGAACATGACTCTAGCTAATGCCAGTGCCACTCGCGAAAAAAAGAGATAAGGCGTATATGTGGCCGAAACCGCACGTATTATACTACAACAGACTTTCAGTTTAAGAATTTTAAAATTCACCCAGGTTACTCGAATCGAACCGCTAAAGGTCCGCAGAAGCCTGCGAAGCGGTGATGGCGATGATGTAACCCCAAACTATTTTTCTCGCCAGTCAATGGGTGCGTCGGATCAACGCGTAGATGAAGACGCTGCTGTGTTGGGAACGGGACCGGTTTGCCCGAGGGTTTCCCTCTCCATTCATGCGAGCCTACACTGCCGCCCCACTCCCAAGCGTGGCGCCACGTCGTCCCACCCCACAAACCGCGCGAGCTGGTTCAAATTTTCCCGCTCAATTCGCCAAAGTCAAGGTCACGGTCAGTTGCGCGGGGATTTCCCCGCCCAGCATTCCAGCAATCAGACTGGCGAACGAGTGGCAGACGAATGGCCAGGCGCCACTCGCGGTGTCAGCGCGGCTCTTTGGCGCAGCCTGGCCGCGGCGGCCGGCACAGCGTAATCGCCAAGGTCCTGCCTCTTCCGCGGTCATCCCCCTGGGTCCCCTCTGCGCCGAGCAGCGAGCAACGCGCCGACCGGCCGAGTCGCGGGCCGCGGCCGCCGCGACGCGGACTTCTGGTGTAGGCGCATGCGCGGCCGCCTGCACTGGGCGGCGCGCCCAGTTCAAACCGCGGGAGGGGAACCGAACCGCTCAAATGACGGATGACGCGACGCGCGAATCTAGAGGGACCGGCGTCCCGGGCGGCGTCCCGGGTCCAAGACTAGGAGCAGCAGGAGGAGGAGGGAGGAGAGGGGAGGGGGCGGAGGCTCCCGTGGGCTAGCCTCGAGACAGGTGCTTGTCCTGTCCTCCTGCAGTGCCATGGCAGTGCCATCGCAGTGCCGTCGCCACGGCCACTGCGATATATAGTCGGCACCACTGCAGCGCGTGCATCGCCACCGCGCCGCCACCGCAGCCCTCGGCCCGGTAAGTGTTATTGGCACTTTGTCGAAAAAGGGTGTCGACGCAACGTCCACGCAGCACGCCGCTGAAGGTGCATGAAGGAGGCGGCCGAAAGGCCGAATGGCCGAAAAGGACGGTGGTTCTCGCGCTTGGCAACGCGCGTCCGCCGGCCGCGAGGACTATGCTGGGACTGCGGAGCCCAGGGGGAAGCGCCAAGTGCCGCGCCCCGCGCCCCGTGCCCCGTGCCCACCCCGCGAGTGAGAGAGACAGAGACACGCCGCGCCCCGCGCGCACCCCGAGAGAGGGACGGGGCGGCCCGTGCGGCGCCCGCCTTGACCTTGCCCGCCTTGCCGCACCAAGGCAAAGGCCCGACCGCGCCCCCGCCGCAGACTCACCCCCTGTCTCTCTCGCACTCGCGGGGCGCCCCCGAGAGAGACAGGGCGACGAAACGGCTGTTGGAACGCGTCGGCCGTTGTGTCACCGAGGGGCCGGCCGGCCGCTGCATCCAATGGATGCGTCGCGAGGCGCAACTTGGCGCAGCACGCCGGCCTTGAGCTTGGCGAGTGAGAGAGAAAGAGAGAGAAAGAGAGAGCACGGGCGAAGCACGCCGAGACCGACTGGCGCGGGCCTGCTCCGTACACTACATTGGTCCCGGGAAGAGTTAAACTAGCAACGACTGTAACGCTGAAAAATTCCATTGCCTGGAGAAGCCGTTGGCATTCTTGTAGCAGATAATAAGTTGAAAATTAAGCGGAGGTAAAATTTGACAGAAAAGTCAGAAGCTCCGTTACCAAACAAAGCAAAAAAAAAAGCCCAAAAAAATCAATAGCCTCTTTTGAATGGCCATTGTTTGCGACGGTACAGTAACGCTGAACTTCGGCACTACGGGCCAGTTGTCAATTTTCGGCAATTTGACCTGCCTAATGAAACTTGAGTGCGCACTCAGATAGCATTTAGCGTCCCGCCGGTGCTGCACAGGTGCGGCGGAGTGACTCTTCCAGTTCCCGAGTTGCTCACATTGGGCAAGACGCTCCACCGGCCGAGGGCGGGGCGGGGCGGGCGGCCAGATGTGAAATTTGGAGAATGTGATGCAATCCGAGGTCCGTGGCGGCATTGAAGCAGCCCCAGCCAGATTCCGAACAGTATTTCGTCGCTCTGTCTCTCTCGCACTCCGCCGGGGCGCCCCGAGCGGGAGAGAGACAGAGCGATGAAAGGACTGTGTTTGGAATCAGCCTGCAGAGTTGACTGGGCCAGCGACAGCAACGTCCAGCGTCGCGAACCGCCGCAAGGATCGCTTCCTTTACGGCTGGCGTGGCCAAGTCTCGCTCTGTCTCTCTCGCACCCCTATGGGCCGCACCATGCGCGCGAGAGAGACGGAGTGACGAAGAAACTGTGGCCGACAGACTGTTGGCTTTTAACGCTGATTGCGGCGTGACCATAACGCGCTCGTGCGTGCGGGGATAGGCCACCCCCCGGCACCACCGAGGTCAGAGAGAGGTGGGGATAGAAGGAAAGGAGATGCCACTCTCCTCCGCTTCAAACCTGCGCTTAGAACATCACATTTCTTTAAATTTATGAATTTCAAAAATTTCTACTTTGAAGCTAGTGGAACCTTTACTGGTTTGGGGTGTTGCAGAGCCGTGTTTTCCTAGTTCCAAAGGACTGCCAGAGTGACCGGCCGGGCGTTCGACATGCCGACCCAGACGCAGACCCAGGCCGCGACGGCGCCGCTGGTGCCCTCCAAGCAGGCCCTGCAGCTGCCCACGCTCAAGGGGCTGCGCGCCGCCGGCGCCGCGGAGTACGACGACGAGCTGGCCTTCTACGAGACCACCCTGCGCGCCGCGGAGGGCGACGCGGGGCTGGTGCTGAGCCACCTCGAGGTGGCGCCGGGCTGCAACGTGGGCGACAACTTCTCCAGCATCGTGACCAGGACCACGGCGCAGGGCACGCGCGGCAGCGGGGAGGGTAAGTCTGCACGCGGAGAGCGCGGCGGCAGGGCGGCAGCTCCCCCACCTGGACCACTGCCAGCACGGCCTGCGCCGCCACGGCTGCACCCCACCGCCCAGGCGCGCGCGTTGGGCTGCCTGCCTTCAGGCGGCGAGGCGGCCTGGTTGCTGCTTGCCGCCGGGCGACGTCAGGGCGCTTCCCTCGTGCAGCACCCTGACGGCGTGCCGACGGCGTGCCGTGTTTAGCGTTCCAGCGCAGCATGATCGTGAAGCGCACGCCGCAGACGGACCAGTTCCGCTGCCTGGCGGCCTTCGCCAAGGAGACGGACGCGTACTGCGGGCTGGTGCCCACGCTGCGGAGCCTGTGCGAGCGCGCGCGGCTGCCGCTGCCGCTGGCGGGGTGCCTGCACGCCTCCAGGACCCTCCGGCCCGACCACATCATCCTCGAGGACCTCACCACGCTGGGCTACTCCATGCGGCCGCGGCAGCAGGGCATGGACTTGCAGCACGCGCTGCTCATCATGGAGGTGGGTGTCGCGACGCCTCCGGGCGCGGTGTTCGGCTCGTCCATGTCCTCCCCGTGTCCTCTGCCTCAGGCCCTGGGCCGCTTCCACGGCGCCTCGCTGGCGCTGCGCCGCCTCGACGCCCGCACGTTCCTGGAGCTGCGCGCCGACACCAGCGAGCTCATCTTTTTCCCCGCGGCAGAGGCCGTGTTCGCGTGCAGCTTGCGGGCCTCCACCACCATGGCCGCGCTCAGCCTGCGGCAGTCCGGGCGCGCCGACCTGGCGCAGCGCCTGCAGGCCCGCGCGGCCCGGACCGGCGTGTTCCAGGAGATGTGCGCCGTGGTGGCGCCCCCCGCCGACGGCGACGTCGTCCCCGGCGTCTTCACGCACGGCGACTGCTGGGCCAACAACCTGCTCTTCAAGTACGGCCCGGGCGGCGCGCCCTGCCAGACGCGGCTCGTCGACCTGGCGGGCATCCGGTACTCGTCCCCGGCCCTGGACCTGCTGCACTTCTTGTACACCAGCGTGCAGAGGGACGTGCGCCTCCGGCACCACGACGACCTGCTGCAGCGCTACCTGCGCACGCTCCGGGCCACGGTCCGCGAGCTGGTCCGCGCCAACGCTGCAGGTGGGTGACTGCACTGCATCATTTTATGTCGATTTGAGATAAGGTCCTGAAAGCCCTGCTGGAAAATACCCCACGCGCAGCATTGTCCGCTAAGCCAACGCCGCTCGCGCGCGGGGTAGCGACAGCACGGTTCTTTTCCATCTCATAGAACTTACGACATTGTTTCACCCATCCTAGACGCACCTCTGGACCCGTCGCTGAGGCGAGGCGCTGCGGACGACGAGGACGACGTATTTTCCGAGGAACAGTTGAAAGAAGAGATGCGCAAGCGGGCGGCGTTCGGGCTGTGGATCGGCCTGTGGATGCTGCCGGCCATCTTCTTCAGCCCGGACATCGTGCCCTCGTCCGACTCCGACTCGCCCGTCGACTACTTCTCGGAGGAGACGCAGGCGCACATGTGCAAGGCGCTCCCCAGAGAGTTCCACCGGCGCCTGCTGCACCTGGTGGAGGACCACGCCGAGGACGGCACTCTGTGAGAAGGCCGTGCGCATCTCAGGGAGAACAGAAAAGCCATCATCATGTCAACGAAAAGAACCTCAAAGTGGCCCAGAAACACGACAACTCGTGGTCAACACGAGTTCAAAATGAGATTTTAGCCTCGTCGCATTTTGATGCCAAGTGGCTGTGAATGACTTGATGTTGACTGCCCTGTTCTCTTTGGGGGTGGCGGTCCATTGTTGTATGAAAGTTAGTTGTTTTAGTCTTTTTCGCTTTATAGAAGATTGTTAACGTCGAAGTTACCTCAACGTACCTTGCTAGAAATTTATATTTTTCTATGATATCATTTCTACGCTTAAACTAGACCAAATAAATGCCAAATTGGGTTTTTCCACACCCCCTGATTTCGTTTTAGACGCCGGCCGAAGAGGGGCCGGCCTCTTTTGACATTAAATAAGCACAATCATCGCGCCGTAATGCAAGGCGATCTTCGCCCTTCGCCTTTCTCGCCCGCCCCCTCGCGATGGCGATGCGGCGATGCGGCCCGGATAGGCAGGCCGGCAACCCCCCAAAGCAAAACACAGTTCTTTCTGTTCAGCTAGACGCGCCGCGCAAGCACACAGTGGGCCAGAAGACCGGCGCAGGCGACCAAAACTCTATCGCGTTTTGAGCTCCAGAGTCGCTAAAAAGGACTCGAACCGAGCGTGTGACCCCACCAATGGATTCCTCGTTCGGAGAGCAATCCATTGGTGGGGTCACACGTTCGGTTCGAGTCCCATTGAGCGACTCTGGAGCTCAAAACGCTGGTCCACTGTGAAGCGCCGCGTGCCGCGTGGCGAGCGGGAACAGAGTTTCGAAGGTTTGCAGCGCAGCAGCGCTAATGGAAGGTAATGAATCCGCCGCCGATTTTTTTCCCTCGACGGAATCACTTTTCTCTCACTCAGCAGCGGCGTCCTTCCGCTCGCCTGCGGGCTGCTGCTGCTGCAGTAGTTTACCAGTGCCGGCTGCGAGGATCATCGGAAGAGATCGAAGCCGCGATCCCTAAACTGATCGTAATTATGATCTTAATTAGCACAGTGCCACCGCGCCTCGCCGTCTCGCACTATGGCCTTGATGGCCGCTGGCAGTAGGCCTGGGAAAGGGCCTGGTTAGCTGGTTAGTCGCAGAAAAGTGTCCGCCGCCGCCGCCGCCGCTGCAGCTGCAGATACTCCGTTCCGTTCTGCGGCCGGGCGCCGCGGTCGGCGGTTCGACAGCAGAGTGATGCTCTGCTTGAATCGCCCGCTTGTTCTCGTTCCTGCATAGAAAAAAAACTCCCACCGATTTCCACCCCTTGCTGGACTTCCCAGCGGCGGGTGCGTCCAAAACCTCCCCCGTGAACGGCGACGAGCACTGCCGCCTTCGCTCGCGGTGATGACTGCGCTTGCCGCGGAGCGGGTTATATACGTTGTGTCCAACGATCTGCCTGCGAGGGGTCCGTCCTCACCGTGCGACTAAGCTGCGTGCTGGCGTACACGCCGGACGACGCGCTGCTGACGTGCTGGCCTCGTGCGTGCACCTACCTTGTAATGCAAGTATATATATCGGCGGTGGGTTTTGTCGACCTCTTTTACTTTATTCTTTCTTGACGTACTTGAGTCAAAGAGTGAATGCTCAGGCCCAATCCAGAGCCGAAACGAGCCCCGTGCCGCTTCCCTCGCGGTGGCGACTTCGCTTGCTCGCGCGGTGGTATATATACGCAGCGTTCCGGGTGTATTAACCGGAGGGTCCGCACTCACCCTGCGGGTGCACTAGACCATACCGGGTGCACGCTTATTTAAATCTCTCTACCGCATGGTGGGGCCATCGACCCTCCTTTTCTCGTCGCGTTGGCAAAATTGCTTTTTGCGGCTTACGCTGGCTGACACATTGTTCGGCTGTGGCGAAACTGGACCACCGACGCTTACATGTTGCCCAAGTGCCGCGGAGTCGTCAATGGAATCGGTCGCCCTCGAACCTCGAACCCCAGAGCGTCGCATCCCTGGATCGATGGATCGATGTATCGATTGTCCACCTCCGAAAACGCAACGGCCCGTCTCCACACAGCCTTCGTCTCGGTTTCCGTAATCGTCCTCTAGGCATTGACACCCTTCTCAAAGTGTAGGCCGCCAAATAACAGAGGCAGTGGCGTGTGTTTTGGGCCCGGCCTTACGTGGGCGTGTATGCATGCCCGAAGTCCCGAAGGCAGACCCAGGCAACCGAAGGCCACTCGGCCGGGCCTCCGAGACCGCGCCAAGACCGGGGGCAGGCTGGGGCAGGCAGCACGCCCAGGACGTGCCCAAGTCGCGGTCAACCTCTCAAATCGCACTGAGCTCAGGGGGAGGAGGGGGAGGGGAGCAGACACCACAACTGGGATCGACGTTTGGATGACACTAATCTAAAACCTCTTATTCACTGATAAAAAATGTTTCATTCGAATTAAAATAATAAAAAGTTCTTTTTTTGTTGTTATGACTTTGGCTAGACAAAAAAATCAACTTAACTAGACTTGGGAATCGACTTGGCCGTGTTCTGTGGCGATGCTAGTCCCAGCCTTCTAAATTTTCTCCGGGTGTCATCGCATTATGGTGATGGCGTCGCAGCCGGCCGCAGCGCATCAAAAGTGGCGCCAAACGTCGGCTTGCTCCAGCATGGCCGGCCTTGGCGCGTTCGGCCGCGTTTGGCGGCGAAGGGAAGGGACGCTCTGTCACCCTATCGCCGGGCCATCGCGGGTTGCCGTGTCGCCGTGGGGGCACGCCTGCTCATGGATGAGCATGTCATCGCCACGGCTTGGACACGGCTCGGCCACGGCCGCTGCAGACTCATTCCGAGAGTCGCTCTGTCTCTCTCGCACTCATGGGGCGGCCCCTGCGGGTGCGAGAGAGACAGAGCGGTCGGCAGCACGCACCGTCGCTACCCAATTGCCTATGACGCACGCAATTAACTGCAACAATGCAAAACACCCCGCCGAAGAGGAGCTCGGCGGAGTGCCAGCCACTTCGCTCCGCCGGTCTGGGATTGCGCGGGAGTTTCGCCGACCGCGCGGACAGAGTCCCGCACTCTGCGTCCAGGGGCGGGTCCAGAGAGGTCTCGGAAGGGGATGCCCGGGGGGCGTCGCAAAGGTTGCCGGTCAAATTGCGACCAACCTTTCAGGCGGCGCGACGAAAATGGCTCTCGAAAAACAGTGCAGTGAACATTTCCATCCGGCCGCTCCTTGAAGAGAAGCCACCGGAGCGGTGAGTAGTGCGTCGTCAGGCAGGCAGGCAGGCAGGCAGCCAGCCAGCCGCGGCAACGCAGCCCTGACTGACATGACGGAGCCGAGCCACCGCAGTGTCCGTGGCACCCAAATGGGGTCCCAGCCAATTACAAGGCAGGGTCATCGCGAACAAACAGGACGCCCAACAAGTGCAAGGAGTACAGTGTACACACTGCGTCGCACTGCGTGTTGCTGACGCCGAATTTCCACCTGTAAGCGTTTCCTGAGCCCAGGAGCATTTCCTCTTGGACACCACATTCGTCGGAGGACTCTGCATTCAGAGCGGTACGTAGCCACGCACAACCACTCGCCTGGCAGAGTCACCGCTGTTCTGGGGGATCTCTGCGTGCCTTCCCCGCTCGCAGTGCATCGACCCGCAAAGTGCACCACATGGCGTTTCGTCAGAGCAACAGGATGCAGCCGCTCGGGAAACAGAAACAGCACTCGACGGCCCGCAGCGCCCCGCCACCGCCTTTGGGGACCTTCGGAGCCTTGATCCTGGTGACGCTAGTCAGGCTGATTCGGTCGCTCTGCGAGTGCGAGAGAGACAGAGCGGCGTCCGCACTCTGTTCGGAGGTTCGGCCCAGTCACGACGCGCGCGTGACGCCCTGGTGTCGGCCGTTGCACCTCGGTCGTGTGGCGGCGATTCGTCCTGAGTCACTCGAGACGGGGCTTCCCCGGCGTCACTACTGAACGGGCCTGAAAATGAGCGGTCCCCGTCTTGACAGAAACAATCCATCCCCAATCCATTCCCTTTGACGATGCCAAGCAAACTACCTCCAGAAGGCGGGCCAAGCCGGACCAAGGCGGGCTGCCCACGAGAGATTACGCAACGGAACGACAATTGTTTCACGTGGTTTTGGTGCGGCCTGCACTGCAGGTGGTGCCCCGCGTGCATCGCGTGGGGTCGGGCCCCTAAGAGGCAACAGCACTCGGACTCCGGCCCGTGCGGTCAACGGGCTCCTCCAAGAGAGCGTCTGCCTCCTTGAAGACACGCTTTGTGCTGCGCCTGTGCAGCCTCTCTCTCTCTCTCTCTCTCTCTCTTCTCTCTCTCTCTCTCTCTCTCTCTCTCTCTCTCTCTCTCTCTCTCTCTCTCTCTCTCTCTCTCTCTCTCTCTCTCTCCTCCTAAAGACTACAAAATAATCTGCCGGCTTGATTAATGCGACAGAGGTCGCGCCCGTCGTCGATTTGTTGACGAGAATCGGCCGATCTGGCGCACGTAGAAACGCCGTTAGTTCGTTAGGGGAGAGCGCTCTCCTGACGAGTCAAGGTTGGTCCTCTCGGGGGCCGCTTCCGAAAAACGGCGCTCTCTCTCGCACTCACGGGGCGTCCCGCCGCGGCGCGAGAGAGAAGGAGCGAGGCGCCGTAATGAGCGTCAGTGTAGAATGCCTGAAGGACGTGAAATAAAGCGTTGTCGCTTCGCGCACTCGGCTTTACGATTTTCTGACCTCACCCTCGCTGCATATCCTCCTCTACAGTGCCCCAGCGGACCGATCCCCAGAGTTTTTATCGCTCTGTCTCTCTTGAACTCCGACAGTGGTCCTTAGAGGTGCGAAACGACTCTTGGAATCGTAGTGCAGTGCCGGACCCCAAGGTGAACCGAAGACGAGACGATCTTCTTTGCCGGGCTGCGACCGCGGCTCGTTTTGGCACGGAGTAAGGCAAGCCGGAGACATGGTCGGGAATGGCGGTGTGGTGGCCACGCTCGACGGCGAGGAGGCGACTTCGGCGCGGAGCGCCTGCGAATCGAAGGATAGGCAACCAAGCCGAGCCAACACGCACGCCTGGCGCGCGGGCCGGCCTACCTCACAGGCGCTGACGGCGGCATGCGCGTGGCTCTACGGGAGAGGTGACCCCTTCCAACCCTCTCCGCGGGAACTACATAGGCCACCTGGCAATGCAGCAAGCACCACATGGCCCCAGAAAGACCCCCCCCCTCCTTCGGAAAATCCTGGACTGGCGGCTTGCTGTCCTCCCTTCCACTGCACTGCCGGCGATGACACCGGCTCGGCGATGACGCGGTGTTCCGGGACGAGCGGCGAGTCACCTCGCAGGGACGCACTTCCATCCGTCCCGGCGGCCCGGCGCGCGGTTTGAGGTCAAGCCTCGTCCCGCGTGCGGACGT